AGAGGCGCCGCCACCAGCCTGGAGCCCGCAGGACGCCAGCGGGCGGGAGGACGAGGCGCGGCGTCGGGGTCCTGGCGGAGCGGTTGCGTGGGTGGCGGTGCCATTGATGGGGACGGGGGGCCACAGGCAGCGCGGTTTGCAGGAGGGGGCCCCGCTCTGCTTTGGGGTACGAAGTACACCCCAACCCACCCGTTGTTCCCAGTTCGCTCCCCGGGAGTGTGAGTTGGGAGCCCACAGGCCTGCGCCGTTGAGGATCCAGGTGCTGCGTTGCTGGTCCGGGAGGTCGGGGGGGACAGTTGTGTGCGGGGCGCTGCGCCGGCCTGGGTAGGGGGGGGCTCAGCGAGGGGCGCAGAGCGCTCCGGGGCGCACAGCGCAGCAGGTGCCTCCCAGCGTGCAGAGCTTGCGGCCAGGGCGCCCGTGGGGACCGCACCTGAAACAGGTGAGGGGAACTGGCCGTTCCCGCCTCCTCTCCTTGCCCTAGTGTAAGTCCACGGTCTGCGGGGATCCCAGGAGCTCCAATGAGAGCTCCGAGTGAGGGCCCACGAGGCTCTCCAAAGCCCCCACACCAGGTCGGGATGTTCCTCGATGTCACCCTCTCCCCACCCACCTGCCACACAGTTCCATGCCCATGTTTGTCACCCGCATTGATGTTTCCGTTTATTTCCTACCCAGGTTTTATGGCAGGCACACAAAGAAACCCTCAGATGTCTCAGTATGGACCTCAGCAGACAGGCCCCTCCATGTCGCCTCACCCCTCTCCTGGAGGCCAGATGCACCCTGGAATCGGCAGCTTCCAGCAGAGCAACTCAAGTGGGACGTATGGTCCGCAGATGAGCCAGTATGGACCACAAGGTAAAAAAAGAAAAGAGAAAACATGGTTCCGAGTGGGTTGCAGTAGTTTGTAGAAATTTTGTTGATGTGTTAGTTCTTTAAGATCTGAGCATTGTAAACATCTTTTAAGATCCCGTGGTGTGTTGCCTGACGGATTTGTGAGGTTAATGCAAACCCACAGGCTGTTAGGTGCCCGCCGTGATGGGAAGCACTATAGCACCCCTTCTTTAAGCCCCGTGCCTCAGCCCCTGCAGTAAGAGCCTCCACACGCGTTGCTAACAAGGGTGTAATCCTGGTTTCTGTAAGGAGCTCTAAGCGCTTGTTGAAAGACACAGGCCTTGTCCTCAAAGTTTCTCACTTAAAACTTGGGCTTTGTTATGTTGAATTCTGATTTTGCCCCCTCCTCTGCTCCGTGTAATTATCTTTTCAATAATATGCTCACTCTTCAGAAGGATGTCGTCCCCTTAAATCTTCTTTCTCCCAGTTTGTCTCCAAAGCGCTAGATCAGGTAAATAGTAGCTCTGTCTCTCTCTTAGAAGACGAGACAAAGCTGAAATGGACACATCTTTCAAAGAGGAAAATTAGGTAAGAGTAGAAAAATAAGTGGACTCATGCCCAAAATGCCCTGTTTACATACGCCTTCCTGGAAGTCAATGTCTGCTTTGTCATATACTGTAGAATCGTTTCATCAAGGTTTTAAACCTGATAGATTTTTTTTTTCCCAAGTCACTTTTGGCAGCAAGGCATTTGAATTTAGCACCTTTTTTATATTTTGTTTATTTGAATTAGACATTAATGGGTAATTTAGAGAGAAGGCGATAATCTGGCAACATTCCCAGAGTTTCCTCACTTTTGAAAATACCAGGACTATTCTAAGTGAAGATAGTGAGTTCCCTCTAGAGAACTGTGTAAAATGTTTATACCTCCCAACAGAGTCAGGTGTGCTGCGTGCAAGGCTTATTTCCCAGAGGCCTTTGCACCTGATGGTTTAGCGAATCATCACTGTTGAGTGAGTGCCCACAAGCCACACAGTGCTGCGCGGGGACCCAGGCACCTTCTCAGCTTTACCTGCTGCTTCTCAGGAAAGCTTTCCCGGGTGTTTGATAGCATTTTGCAGTTTGAAGGTTGACTTATCTTGTTTGTTAAAGATCTCTTTCTGAAGTACCTTCAGTACTACTGGGGTGACCTCATTTCCTTGCCTTACACTTTATTCTATTACGTGCCAACTGTTTCTGTTAGGAAAATTATTTGAGAGGCCCCACACATAATGCTTTCTTCGTGGCCCCTTCCTGCCTGTCTATGCATGTGGTCAGAGTGGATATGACCTGGGGTTTTCCCTAATCCCCTTTCTACTGCATCATGAATGGTTTTCCATGTTATTAACTGCAGTGAGCCCTGAGAATTTACGTCCCAGTGGACAGGACCATGAACCACTTCTCCGAGAGAGAGGCTGCTACCCGCTGCGCCCTTGCCCGGCATGGTGGCTTGTCATCACAACTGAGTTTCTTTGGCTGTCGTGAAAAGAAGAAAATGTTAGTGAAAGTGGAAAGCAGATGATAAGTTGTGAGCAGCACAGGAAGTGTGGGCTTTTGCTCAGAATGTAACAGACATGGTCAGGGCCTTGGTCTCAGAACTGGGGGTAGCCAGCTGCAGGCCTAAGACTCAACCACTGAAACTCACAGGCTTCCTGGAGCTTTCAGTTGGTCTCTCTGCTCTTAAATAACTCACTCCTGCAACCTCGCCCCCTGCTGTTCTCACAGGGCGAGGAGGACTGTCTGACAAGTCTTGTGAACTAAGGAAACGCTTACACATAGGAGTTAGTAACGGGGGGATAATTTCTATAGAATAATGGACTTCCTCAGTTTTCTGGAATTGTTGCCCACTAAGATTCTTAGTTTAAGAGCACTGAACCTAAGCGGCTCATCCAGGCTGCTGTGTCCTGCGACAGTTTCAGACTCTCTGGGAATTGCTTTTCTGAGAGAAAATGGGATTATGTTACCTTGGAATTTGCCTCTAATTCTAACATTCAGTGAGTCTGAATTCTGCTTCAGCTGTGGAGCCTCTGATACTGGGGCAGCCCAGTGGATCCGCTGCGTAGCATTTTGATTGTAGAGTAAGGTTTTGTTTTGAAGTTTCTCTAAGGCACGTGTCCTGAGTTTAGGTCGGCATTAGAAACAATTTGAAATAAGGATGCTCATTTCCATACTCAGCACTTTCTAACTTTGAAAGAAAGTGTCTGAGTTTCTGCTTCACCTTTTCCAGGTGACATCTCCAGCGTGCTCCACTGTGAGGCGTGTACCCTCCCAGTTCCTTAACTGGTTCCAAGTACCAGGGGCTTAAAATTGAAGTCCTGGTGCTCTAACCAAACCAGAATTGCTCACCTTCCCTCCTCGTGTCCTCTACTCAGCAAACACTAACCAATAGGAAATTACGATTGTAACACATTTTACTCAGTTCAGTCAAGTTCTTACCTTTGCATTTCTCTCTTTGTTGATCCTTTTAAACAGGGTCCCAAGTGAAGTATTTTTCCCCTTCTTTTAACTACTGAAATTATTAATGAGACACTCAGCTTGCATCTGTGATGTATGTTGTAAATCTCTGGAAAGAATCGCTGTGCAGTGACCCCCAGAGGTCAACCGTGTCACCTGTTTGTTCTAACTTGGTGACTTTCTCCTGGTTTAGTTTTGTTTTTAAGAGATCTGGGGGAGAGGGGGTCTTTGCAGTCTCTCTTTGCTGACTATTTTATTGTCAGGAGCAGCTTCTCCAAAATTGTTACTAATGATAACAACCAACATGTATCAAATGTTACCATGTCCCAAGTCCTGTTCTATATTAACTTCTTGGAACATGCTGTTATTACTCCACTTGACAAATGAAGAAACTGAGGCAACAGCAGGTAAACACCTTCACCAGGATACACAGTGGTCATTATCTCCATGTTGCAAATGAGCAGGTTAAGTAATTTACCCACAGCTACTAGGTGACAGAGCCAGGGTTCGGAGCAAGGAAGACGTAGGCCACTCATCCTGTCACCGGCGGGTCGTGTCCCACGCCTTGAATGTGCCCTCTGCACTGGCTCATTTGTTCAGTGAGCCACGAGGGGAGCAAAAGACAAGCTACTTGCCTTCAAGGAGCAAGGAACAGTGTTTGGGAAGTACAACAACAATACTAGAGATTAAGAGGGAAAAAATCCTGTGAAGTTAAGGGGAAATTTTTAGAAATGTGTATTGTAAAACCTAAATTATTAAATACACAAATGGGATGAAGCCAACATAAATGTGTGAAAATGTTTAATTACAGTATATTTTATGAACTAGTACTTTTCTACCTTCAAGCAAGTATGTAATAACTACTCTTACAAAGTGCTTGCAAGCAAAGAGGGCCACAGGGACTTGCTTTAATAAATAGGAAGAAATTATGTAATTGACATGCTGATGATCAGCAGATGAACTTGTAGGGGAAGAGGGGAGCCGGGAGCAGCTTCCCAGAGGCGGCCTCGTTTGTTTCTGTGGACTCGGGAGCAGTGTCCGCCACACTGTCCACAAGCACCTCACATATTTGTCACTAATGTGAAAAACGAAGGTCTGGCCTTAGTTGCTGTGAATAAGGAACATTGCAGGGTGCAGCCAGCAGTAGTCTGAGCCTGGCCGCTTCCGGCTGTCACTCATCGCACGACAGTGTCCGGGCCGCCGCGTGCAGCTGCGCAAGGTGCACACGGTGCGGCCCTGGTTGTGCGCCTCCATTTGTAGAATGTGTGTCTTTGGAAGCAGAGAACTTATAAGTAGGTGGGTCTGATGGGCCTTTTATTTCTAAATCACATTGAAAAAGATGTTTTTCAGACAGGTTAAAGGTTTTTCTCTAAAATAGGCGCCATCTGAAACCTTCCTTCCCCCTTCATTAAAAAACGTTCCTCATAAACTCAGCAAAGGCGAACTTGAAATGATGCCTAGTTGAAATGAATGCAGTTCCAAAATGGTGAGTTTCACAGAAATCATAACGGTTTCCGTTCAAGAGGAACAATATGTAAATGTTGCTAGTTGGCGACCCCCCAGCTATTGGAGAGAGAGCACCTTGCAGGCCGTGACAACCTCGGTGTCACCATGACCCAGGATTTTAGTTTCCACTCTGGTCAGTCCAGAACCTCACCTTATTATTGAATTAAGCTGAATTCAGCCTCTCTCCTGCAGCAGTGGCTGTGTCCGCCACCTGGGCTCGCTTCCCCCAGTGCTGCAGATGACAGGATCCTGTTTCCAAAGGCTGGCGCGGGTCACACCCTCCTCAGCTCACTCCTTTCTTTCTTGAAATGGGTTGTAATACACTGGCTATGTTACAGCTTTCTATTACCCTAAGCTTATTTTACAGTTAAATGGACAGTGCTAGGCTAAAGTATTAATCCCATATTCTGTACTGCTTTGTCATTAGAGAAATATTCAGAATATCTTACTAATATGAGAAAAAGTAAATTGAAGTAGGTCATTTTATAGCAAAAGGAAGTTTATGCAGTCCTTTAATGCTCAAATTTAGCCTTCAGGTTACAAGATTTAAGCATGAATTTTTCTTAACAGATTGATAGTTATCATGAGTCTATCAAAACCTGGGAATTAGGAAAGAAATGAAAATTTAAGGCACAAATCAACTTAAAATTAAAAAGAAAGGAAAAAGTAAAAACATAAAGCAACTTTAATTTTTAGTGTGAAGCTAGTCATTATAAGTAATTGAATTAAATTAATATTGCTAATTAAAGTCAGCAGCATTCACTCCCCTCGCCCAGTGACTAAGCCGCCTCCTTGCAACATCTTCATCACTGGCCTTTAACTCTGCTCCAGGTCTGGGTCAGGACGATCCTGGCCAGCAGTGTAGAAACACAGGATGTGGGCGTGCAGCTTTACCTTACATCTTAGCAGATGCCGTTACCTGTCTTTTCAAATGTGGAATCACAATTTACTAACTCTAAGAGGGGCACCAAATGTCCTTTCAGAAAGGGCCCTTGGCCATTACGCAAGCAGAGCAGAGCTCTCCCT